GTTTATGTGGTGAGCCAGAGGGACTCAGCAGAGCCCAGTGTCCCAGCCGTCCCCACGAAGGTGCCAGGCATGTGAACGGAGATGTCTTAAGACTCCTCAGACCAGACCAGGTACCAGGTTAAGTGCCACTGCGTGACCACTCAATGTCACACGGAACAGAATCGGCCAGGCAGACACTTCCTGAATTCCTGACCTATGCATTTATAAGATATGATGTAATGATTGTTTAAAGTCACTCAATTTGGGGGCAGTTTGTTACACAGCCATAGCCAACTGGTACGACCTAAAAACCTGCAATACAGGCCTCAGCACCGCTGACTGCCATGAAACCACGCTGGAGAGAATCCCTTTGGAGTATCTGCCTGCCTAATTCCTTCTGTTCTGGGATTCACTCCCACCCCACCATCACCCTAAAATGGCTCTCTTGCTTCTTCTACCCCGGCCTCAGCTGTTTGGATTAGTGGGAGACATGGGACCCAAACTGGCCCAGTCAGAGTCTCTCCCAGCCAACTCCCTGCCCTCAGCCCTGCGTGACAGGAGTAGACATTTGACTGGAGCTAGCCAATCAGGTTTTCTCTTCCAGACTCGTAGAACTGGGGATCAGAGGTGGCTGGAGCAACCGTTTCCTCCTGTGTGTCTGAGAGCGAGGAGAAAGCTCGTCTGCTACCGAGAAGAATGACGCAGGCGTGTAGGGCCACGGGAGCGAGGGGGGAGGGGAAACGCCTGCTTCAGTTTGTGGACATTTTCTGGGTCTGAACACACACGTTCTCTCTCTTGCTTAAGTGGTTATGAATCGCGTTCTGTTTTTGTTTTGCTTTGTTTTGTTTTCTTGCAGCCAGAAAAATGGCCTTCATGATGCCCGATGTAAGCATGTTTGGTCCCAGAGACTAAAGAGAACACTGCCCAGGCTAGCGAGGCGACAGCAATGCCCTTCTGCCGACCTTCCCGTTGCTGGGTGAGGATGACTGGGAGTGAGTCAAGTCTCATCAAGTCTCCTGGCGGTAACCACGCTCAGAAAGCCCAACAGCAATCTCCTCCTCTTTCAAAACAGCATCCAACTCTGCCTTCCTCACCCTGGTTAAGGAAAAACCATTCACTGTCTAATCTAAAAGCAGCAAGAGACTGATACTTTTTTCCTTCTGACCTCTCAAAGCCACCCGGTCACCAAATCCTGCCTCTTCTAACTCGGAGAAGTTCCCTCCTTCCCACCCATGGAGATGGCTCTCGTCTCCATTCTGTGCCCAGCTCTCCCTCGTCAAACAGATGTGGCCACGCCACTGCTCTGCTGATAGACCCCATGCTCCCCCCTGCCCCTGGTCAGGAGGCCCCTTCACAGCTGAGGAAGGTGATCTCACTGTGGGTCATTGCCTGCCACCTCACCAGGTGGCCCCCACAAAGCCTGCTGCTTCCCTCACTCCCTCCATACGGAAAGTCCATCTGGCTGCCCTCCCCTGGCCCGGAACAGTCAGACCAAACCCGAGGTCAGACTTGCATGACACCTCATTTGTGGAACATCCTCTGACTTTCATAGGGGGCGTCCGTGTGTCACGTGCACTGCTGAGAAGTCCGCCTGCATTACCTCTACACTTCGAACCGGGTGTCACGGTCTCCCTTTCACAGAGGAGGAAACTGAGGGTCACGGAGGGTAAGCAGTTCTCCCAAGGCCACGCAGCTGGCAGGTGCGAGAGCCAGGACGCCAGCCTGCAGCCTCCTGCCAGCACAGCCTGCACCTTCCTCTACCTCACTGTACTCGATGGCCTCTTCTCTGCCCTGGGGCGGGGAGGGTTGATGGGGTCTTTTTCTCAGTGTCCAGAGGTCCTGCTGCACAGCCTCAGCTTTACGTTTCCAGGTGTATGTGCTTGATGGGGAGGAATTCAAGGGCAGGAAGAGCCTTGGTCATGATGCCTCGTGTGCCTGGCGCAGGGTTTGGTTCAAAGCAAGTGTTCAGTTAATGTGAGTTGAAATGAGCTGCTCTTGGACATTGAGCAAAGCTCTGTGACCCGCACAGCGTCATTCAACAGCTTTCTCAAAGCGGTTTTAGATCCTTTTTTTCTACCTCTTCAGTTATGGCAAGGCCTTGCCTGGGTTGAGGCCCCCTGCCTGCCACCGCTCTGCTTTCTTCCCCAGCGCATGGCAGGGGGTGATGCTGGCCTTCGTGGGTCCTGGCTCTCTGCATCGCACACAGCTGGGTGACCCCAGGGTCTTGGCTACCCCACGACAGCCACCTCCAGCAACCACATTCTTTGATCAAACACAACAAAAGCAAAGCTAAGCAGATGGCGAGTGAAAGCATGTGCTGAGGAGACGAGACACCCCCCCCTCCAAGGGCAGAGCCCAGTGGGGTGGAGAAGGAGGGATTCATGCCATGACAGACAGTGGGGCATGGCCACCACACTCCCCACTCTGTGTCCCTGTCTTGTCCCACACACCCAATCTCGGAGGACGTCATTTCCTCTCATCGCAAAGGTGGAAGGAAGGAACACACACACACACACACACACACACACCCCACCCCACCCCACCTCCTTACTGTCTTTTCAGATCGCAAACACTGAACTGGCTTTGTTCTCCACCCACAGACCAGAGGCTGTCTCAGCAGGAAGGAGTTGGAGAAAACGGAGCATTAAGAATCTATCTGGCCACACTGATTAAACAAACAACAAATTGGCAGATTATTATTATTTTTTTTAAAAAGGTAATATCCACTCCTGGCAATTAGACAGGGAACTGGGTGCTTTCCACACCTGCTCGAGGGAGGGCGAGTCGGTGCAACCTTCCTGGAAGGCGATTGGCAATGTGTAACCTGAGGCTTAAATTACGCTATGCATTTCTTTTGACTCGGTAATTCCATTTCTAGGATTTCATCTTAAGCACATAATGAGGGATTTGTGCAAATATTTGGCTCCAAGGATATTCACTGTGGCTGCTGAAAGAAGTGTGAACCCAGAAGCCGTCTAAATCCCAAGGTCAGAGGACCGGATGGGTAATCTGCAGCCCCCTGCGGCCTCAGGCAGTGCTGGGAACTGGTCCTCCACTGCATGGAAAGACGGCTGCCAAACAGCCCCCCGGGGGGCCCGGAACGCTCGGGACATAAGGAAACTCAGTTTCAGGGAGGTGCTCAGCATGCTTTTCTTTAACTCACAGACACTTTTCAGGTATCTCTTTTTCAAGTATCTCTAAATTTAAAGCAATTAGTCCAACTGTCAATCTGAAAAATGGACAAGAAAAACACTCACTTTTCTGTGTTTCTAGATTTCTTAGATAAAAATGTATTTATTATACTTTTTCAGATGAATAAGTAAAACAATGCTTTAATTTTAGAGGTACTACACCTGATAATATATCAAGTATGTTACAGGAAAAGCTGACATACTACTCGAAACTAATAAAATGCCAGGAGAGTGCCTGGTCTATGTCTGTTTTGCAGAAAAAAAGGTCAAGAAGAGATGACACTGTGCTCACTGTGGTTGTTTCTGGGATGTGGACTCCTGAGCATTTCGTAGCTCTTTTCCCCTTATTGATACATTACAATGTTTTATCAATAAATACAAATTACTTTGTAATCCCGAAGGAACTAATTAGATTTAAAGCTCCTATTCATGACAATGTGAGAAGCCGTTGCCACCTGAGCCTGAAAGCTGGGACACTGGGTTCTGGGAGCCGTTCTGGGCGCTGGGACACCGTGGGAACAAGAACAGACATGGGCTCCAGTCAGCAGGAACATCGCTGTCCAGTGGGGGAGGTAGCCCTTCAACAGATGATGACTGGACACCATTACTGACCGATACAGAGGCTCTGAAGTGTTGGGTTGGTCAAAAAGTTCGTTCAGTTTTTTCCATACCATGTCTCTAGCCGTGTTTAGTTGTCTTTGATGTCATTCGAAAGAATTCTGTTCGACTGTGTTGTGACAGCTGTCATGTCAGTGGTCATTAAGAAAACTTATCGAAATTGGTGAATTTTTGTGCAGCCATTTTAACACTGAAGTGGAAGAAGATCTGCAAACTTTTGGCAAGTTATGTTTTACTGTTTCAAGAAAGAAAAATGCAACTGAAATGCAGAAAAGATTTGTGCAGTGTGTGGGGAAGGTGCTGTGACGGGTTGAATGTGTCAGAACTGGCTTGTGAAGTCTTGGTACTATTGCCATTTTGGGCAAATAATTCTTTGCTGTGGGGCTGCTTTAGGTAGTGGAAGATGTTTAGCAGCACCCTGGCCTCTACTCACTGGAAGCCAATAGTGGGAGATGGCTACATACTTAAAATATCCAAGTCAATAAAGTTATTGGTGAAAATGAAAAAGTGTCTTTTAGTTTCCAGAAAAACAAGTCATAGACTTTTTGGCCGACCCCATAAAAGGACTCCAGACCTCTGAGAGGAGACTGGGAGGCAGTGACAGCATCCTAGACTTGGGAGCCAGGACACCCCTTTCTCCTTGAGGAAGTGACAGGAAGCAAGACGCAAAGGGGGAGAAGGTATTCCTGGTCCCATGATGCACCGCTGTGGGGTCGGAGGCCTTAGGATGCAGCTGCCCAGGCAGGACCCGGGACTTGTAGCCCATCTCAGTTACCAAGTCGTCTGGGCAGAAATCCTTTTGTTATTCCACATGGGAAAGAACCGTGAGCTGTTCTGTAGTTTCCTTCTCTTGTTCCCCCCAACCCCCCACCGAGTAAATGGTAAACCACCTGAACTGTTACTGCCCATGCTCCTGTTCTGGAGTTAGGTTCCCACCATCCTGCCTTAGGACTGGTGGGAAGGCAAGAAAAAAGGAGAGTAAGCTTTTTACTCTTTCTCTCAAGTGGTCCAATCCCTAGTTGTAAATGACCTCAAAAGGAGCCAGGATTCCATTCGCTGCCTGAAGGGGGCACTGCCGTCCCTCTGTTGTACCCGCACCAGGAAGGAAGTGCCAACAGGAATCCTCTCCAGGAGGCTCTAGCCGTGTTGACGCAGGACGGCCAGGCAGCCACAGGTGGGGACCTCCTGGGGACCTGCGATGGCCACACTCACCTTCCAGAGCAGCACAGCCAGCAGCAGGAAGATGAGGATCCCCACCAGCAAACTGATGGCGATGATCCAGCCCACAACGTAGCCACGGGGTTCCAGGTTGTGCAAGGCCTCGAACACCACCTAGGAGGCAAAGCAAATGTGAGAATGTTTCCCACTGAGAGTGTGCCGCCCGATAGAGCCCAGCCTGGACTTGACATTTGGGGTGGATCAGAGCAGAAACCATCCCTCCCCACCTGGAGACAAATGAAAGAAAACTGCCTACGAAGCACAGTGGTTGCTCTGGGAGTGGAAATGAGGCCTCCTGGCAACACACGTTCACTAGCTGTGTGACCTTGGGCAAGGTCCCTTACCTCTCTGAGCCTCATTTTTCTGATCTGCAAAGCAGGGGATAGAACAGCACCTCCCTAGAGAATTCAAGGGGATAATGCAGGTAGATCCCGAGCATGGCACCTGGCAGAGCTCACCCTTGATCAGTGGAGGTGCTTCTCCTGGCATTTAGCAGCATCACTGCTGGCAGGGAGATTTAAAACAAAAAACAATTCCTCACCTGAGGATATATTTACTGATTTTAGAAAGAGAGGAAGGGGAAGAGATAGAGACGGACTGATGTGAGAAACACTGATTGGTTGCCTCCCGTATGTACCCCGACTGGGGACTGAATCCGCAGCCTTTTGGCATATGGGATGACACTCCGACCAACTTAGCCCCCCAGCCAGGGCAGGAGATTTTTTTGAGGTTGTCCATGGTTGGCTACTTTTTAATTTTAAAAACTATTTATTGACATTTAGTATGCATAGAGAAAAGTACACCTAATCTACGTGCACAGCTCACCGAACTTTCACAAACTGGATGCTAAACCCACCTGCAGAACTAGTACCGAGATTGAGAAACTGCATGTGACCAGCCCCCGAGAGGCCCCTCACCCTCCTCTGCAGTCACGACTCCCACCGAGGGCAACGCTACCTTGACTTCTAAGAGCCTGGATTAGCTTCACCTGCTTCTGTCCTCAGTGTAACCAGAATCCAACACCATGTTTGGGAGACTGGACCAGGTTGGGGCCTGTCTATTCTCATTGCTGCGTTTCAATAGTATCCCCCTGTGTGGATACCCAGTTCATTTATCCAGCCTGCCCACTTAGGGGCTTTTACAGAGAATGATTTTCAGGCAGTAGGCTGTGCCAAAGGAGGAACACTTGGGAGTGGAAGGTGGGACAGAAATGGGGTCTGAGATCTGTCATCACAAGCCCACTGCTTTCTGTCTGGTTCAGATGAGAGACTCCTGCCTTCAAAGTCAGATTCATGCCTTTGGGCTCTCTCCCCTAAAGAGCTCCACGTAGCATCATCTCCTGTGTTCAGAATCTCTCGTGGTGTCTTGGACAGGTGAACCGTGAGACACTATTGGCCAAGAAGTGTGACCTCAGGTGACCAAGGCACTGCTCTCTGTTTCCTCCTCTGTGCAATGGGGGTCTGAGAGGGGAAATAAGGTAGATCCTGGTGTACAGTTATGTGGTTGATCTGCTGAAGCTCCGAGTTGACAATGAAGCACTGAGTCAGGCTGTGAGCTTGGAGGGGTCAGCGGCAAAGCCCAGCCCTTTGGGTCACCCTGGTGGCTTCTTCTCAGGGCCACTGACTGCCCCTCGGTGTCAGAAATTGGCATCCCAGCAAAGCCACACTGGAGGCCTGGTTTTGTGGAGGCAGACACAGTGAGATCCCACTACAGTTTAGTCTGGCAAATTCCACAAGAATGCCCCGTCACTTCCCCGGAATGCGTGCTTAATCTTTTATTATTTTTAGTGCTGCCACTCAGCTTCATGGACGCATGCTGGATGCTTTGGCAGAGCGGGCTCTTGCACATCACGGCTCCAATAAACTCATTTGTGGGTGAAGATCGGAGCACCCTTCAGTTCTAAGAAGTCATATCTTAGCTGCAAACCCAAAGGAAGGAACTGCAGCACGGAGCAAGGGGGTACACAAGACGGACGGCTCTAGTCTCCACCATGATAAGCTGGCAATGCTGGTCAAGCCCCCATACCTGTCCTCAAATATCTTTTCTCTCCATCCGTCCTCTTGTTCCCGTCCCCAGTTAACTGCCCCAGTCCGGGTCTGGTCTCCTCCCACCAGCACTGCTCCAGGGGCCTTGGGGAAAGCCCCAAGGGCCTTGTCTTTTCCAAAAGACAGTTGTCTTTTCCGAAACACAGTCTCATCGGGTTGCTTCTCGGCTTCCACGACCAATGGCTTCCTTTTGTGCTGAACATATATTATAACTCAGGGTACCAGGCTCTGCACAGTTGGCCTCCTCCCTACCTTTTCGGCCCCTTGCGGCATGTGTGTTCGTGACTCTCCTGCCAATTAGAGTCATCCTGCCCGTGGGACGTGGCTTTTTGTCACCCTCAGGGCTCTTCCACTCTTTCCCTTTGACAGACTCCAATATTGCTCATCTTCCAAATGTTCTTACCCTTGATGCATTAATTCTGTACTTAAAAATTTACCCTAAAGAAACAGAAAGTACAGAAAAAGTTTCGTATTCAAAGATGTTCGCGGCATGATTATTTGTATCGGTGCAGGAGTAGAAATATTCTAAATGTCCAACCACAGGGTGATGGAGAAGTTATGAGCAATCACACAGTGGAATGCCACAGAGCGGATAAAACGCTTGTGATAAATCGGGCTGTCAAAGTAAGCTTTGTAAAAAATTAAAACATGACTCTCACACAAAAATACAGCAAATGCACGTCAAAGACTTACTTCATTATTGAGGGAATCAGAGGGATGGTAAAGGCAGTTCAAAGCAGGGTCTGAATGTACGTGCAACCACAGAAAAAAACCCAATTCTGACATTGGATGCAGAACTGGTTGGTACCCGGGAGGGCAATAAATGACATTTTCTGCTAGACAGAAATCGTTTTCATCTTTTCTGGCAAAAACCGTGCACAACTCATCAGTGTCCCATGGGTTGATAGGTGACTTCACAGAAGCTGGGCCGCGGAGAACCAGGCAGGCCTGGGACATTAGGCAGCGCTGTTCCCAAGTTTTAGGGCACACAAGGAGCACATGGGGCACCTGGATACCGTGCAGATTCCGAATCTGCCAGTCAGGGTTGGTGCCTGCGGTTCAGTGTGCAAATGAGCGCCCTGGTGGTGCCGGCGCTGCTGGTCTGTGACCACACTAAGTCGGAAGGGGACAGAGGAGGCCCTGAGGTGCCTTTGGAAGGATGTCATCTCTTTTCCCGATTGCCAAGTTTTAAATGCTTTTCCAAATGGTAATAACATGTGAAAAACAATAAACGTTATCATGTTAAGCGTAAAAACCAGGATATCAATTTGCAGGAAAATGGTAGAAAACTTAAAAGTACAAAGGTGCTTTCTGGGATTATGGGTGCTTTTTCCTCGTTTCTACTTTTTACTACTTAAAAAACATTTTTTAACTGAGCATTTAAAGCCAACTTCGAAATATTAAAAAGATGTACTGCTCCAACACCTCCTCTCCCAAGAAGCCTGCCCACTCTCCTCTTTTCAGCAGGATCAGTCATTCTCTGAGCTTTAAAAACACGGCGACTTCCAATCTCTTTTTAGCAGAGAAAACCCACTGCAGCACCCCAGTACATGGCACAGAAAAATGGGGGTTCGCTGGCTGTGAAGAAGGGCAGCCGGAGCTCTGTCTGCTAGCCCCCGTCCCAAGCCTGTCCCCCCAATCTCCACCCCAGCCCCAGCAGCCCCTGCACCACCTCAAGGGAACTTTATTTTAAAACCACAGTGAGCGGGTCATGGCCCCAGTTCTAAGTCCTTCTCACTCTGAAAGGTAATGATGTATCGTCTTGTCTACAGGCTCCAGCAAATTGAATTCTTATAGAACAAGGATCCCGATGCCTGCTCTCCTGCCATCTAACCCACGGTAGTGATTCATTATGTGATTCATGATGAATGCACAAATTAAGAAAGTCAGTGTTTTCTACCATAACATGAGATGGGGCATGGAAATGATTCAGTCTGCGACAGAAGAGAAGATGGGATTTGAAGCTGCAGGCTCTGACTGTACTTTTCTATACTTCCAAAATATATCTGTGAATGTTATTTCTTTGTGGGGGAGCCCTGGCCACCCATTTATCCATCTGCCCATCCACCACCCGTCTACCCATTTGTTTGCTCATCCATTTGACAAATGTACATGCAGCACCTACTATTGCCAAGAACTGTGGGGGCTCCCTGATGAATGAAATGGGGAGTCTATGCTCTCGTGGAGCTTTCTGCTGGCCAAATAGACACATTAGTGCAAAATTATAACCCTGGAGAGTGCCCCAGGGGAGAGGTTCTGGGTTATGAGAGAGAGACTAAGACGAGCATGGCAGTCAGAAAGAGTTCCTTGATGAACTGCCTGAGTCGAGAGTTAGAGGATAAGCGGAAGTTAACTATATAGTCAAAGAGGGGAGGGGACATCATTTCAAGGAGAAGGGACAGCATGTGCAAAGTCCCTGTGGCAGAAGGGAGCTTGGCAGGGGTAAGACACTGCCAGTAGACAGCGAGGTTGGAGCAAACGGATTGAACCAGAAGCCAGAGGAAGATGGTCAAGGTGAGGCTGGAGAGAGAGGAAAGGCTGGAGACGCACTGAGAACTACACGCATCCCTGATCGGTGCAGCTCAGTTGACTGGGCGTCGTACTGCAAAGCAAAGGGTCTCTGGTTCAATTCCTGGTCAGGGCACATGCCTGGGTTGGGGGTTCAGTCCCCGCTCCCTGGTCAGGGTGCATGAGAGAAACAACCAATGGATGTTTCTTTCACATTGATGTTTCTCTGCCTCTTTCTCCTTCCTTTCCCATCTCTCTAAAAATAAATTAATAAAATCTTTTTAAAAAAGAACTATATGTCTTAAGAGAAATGGGAAGCCAATGAAGGGTTTTCACCAGGGCAGTGACAAAGTTGCCAAGAAAATGAGAAGGGAGAATGTTACCTGGGGGTTCAAGGAACAAACAGCCTCAGTGAGAGAGTTGCAGGGGAAGTGGTTTCCCCAGGGGAGACCCATGCTTCTGGTATGAAGAGAGAAAAAAGACTGAGTTTGGGGGTGCCTGTGTGCTGGTTTTAGAGGGTGGTGGGAGGCAGAGGTTCTGACCAGCTGTGGGGTGGAAGGT